GGGACCCTGTCTGAAGGCGCGGACGATTCGATTTGTTCATCCCCTCGGTTTGCCAGCGGAGAGGAGCTGGAACCGCATGGATGCAGTTGCAATCCATGATCGATCGATGCGTGGGCACACGTCCTCAGGAGGAGGTTTGTGATACGAAGGGTAGTTTGTAATACGTATCACAAGCCCGTAACTCCTTTTAGAGGCCACTTAAGGGACGGACCAACGCGAATCGGATATTCATGGGGCCCGCTACACAATTGTATCCTAACAACCTGGAATAGTAGATCTTACCCTGATGCTGGCATTGAAGGCAGTATCCCCCCAGACTGGGGGGTACATGGCTTTGGTAGTAATGTATTAGTAGACCCCTTAATAGCGACGACAGGAGTTTGCAGCGCGAAAGAGGGTTTACGAAGTCTACAAATTGCCCTTCAAGCGGCCCAAATCTTACTGTATCTCGGAGGAGTGCGGGATGCATGCAAGGTAGAGACGCAGAGTCGCTGCGGGACCCTGCGCTAATGACTGTGTGCTCTATACGCGCTCTGGCCTTGCGAATCGATACTGCTGTGTGGGCGGCGTCCGGGCCTACCGTAAGATTCGGGCCAAATTTCAGGTTTGGTGGACCCCTTTTTCGCTGCAAACTTCAGTCATCGCTTAGGTAGGGGGTCTACTCTAACATCGCACCCATCTTTTTGCTGGGACGCTGTCTTTGAGGTGCCCTATTATTTTGGATCACCTTAGTAGCTCCCAAAATAAGCCAACTTTGTAGAAGGATTAAGTATAAGGACAGGGCACACACATCCGAGCCTTACCTTCTCCTTTTCATCTCATGAACGGGACAATCCAAGAATATGACTAAACTGTGTGCTTCGATTTTTTGAGATTTACACATCCGATTTTCCGCGACCGCGCATAATTAAACGGAAATTTTACTTGTAATTTAGAAGTGCTTACAAGATCAAAAGTCTTCCAAATGGAGAAGGACCAAATATACTTTGCGAGAGTTTCTGAAAACACGATCTGGAGCAAAAATGAAGCATTTTGTGAATTAAAGTTGAGTCAACTAAGTCAGATACAAGGTTAAAAAAGCTCATAGAGACTTTTCTATATATAACGAAAAACAATCAGCAATATGAACGCCTTTGTGAAGTGACTTTCGCATGTTATCCTGACAGCATATTGCAGCTTTTCCCACATTTCTTCAAACGGCGCTTCGCGAATCGCTGACTGAATCGAACTGCTGCTCTTTCGTACATCCAAATTTGTGCTGCTGTACCCCAGAGTCCTTGGACATGTGACGTGCATTCAAAAGTGGATTCCTTTCTAGTAATCATTTGAATAGGAATTTCTTCATCATTTTATGTCTAAAAAGCAGATTATTCGAAAAAGTACACTATTTAGCGCAGATTTTCAGGTTAGAAAGACGTTTTGGCCCACAGTTTTTGAAGATGAGAGAAATTCAAGGTAAATTGGACACGCAAGATTAAAGCGAAAAAAGTTGTATTAGATGTTTACCGTCAATGGTGAGCTCATTCTATTCTGTATGAGAGAATAAGTAATATGTCTTCTGATACCCAAAGCTATATCCTGTTGCAAAACGTTGGAATCATTAGGCTAATATGACTTGATGGCGGTCCCCTCACTCACTGCGGCACAGATATCTTTAGTAGCCTCACTTTTCTTCTGCGGCGGCGCATTTCAAAGTTCGAAAGAGCTTTGGTTTTGAACATCTATAGTAATACGTGCGACAGCGCCCATCTATTAACATCGACCAGAAAGTTTGATATGTACTAATATCTACCAAAACTTGAACATTCAGTGTTTTCCATTGGAGAAAGCTGCATCTGCTTTCTAGGTGCCTCTTGCTTTTAAATCACTCTGATGAAAATCACATCTAATAGTCGACAGATTGCTCAAAGATATTTTGACATGCCAGTACAGGTTTTTCTTCCCATTTGCGCGACACGGTCTCCTTTATGAGCTGCGATGGATACAGGGCAGGGGTGCGTAGCAAGTTGTACCCGGGCAGCCGACTGCTGCCGCAACCAGCCGTTAGAGCTGCCGGGCAGAAGATACAGTAATTACGCTCGCTCTCTTAAACTTTGCGAAGAGGTTTCCTCGCACCTCCTCGCGCTGACAAGGGACGTGTTTTCGGTCGAAGTGGCCTTTTCACGTGAAATTGATGCGACTATAAAGAGCACCAAATGCTGATTCCAAATCTGTCTTCATTATCTCCGTGCGCCTACAGACGTCAAGTTATGAGCGTTTTTTGAGTTGAGAAATTAAATGCATTATTAGGACAATATTCGTCAGAATTGTTCAAATGGTCCAATGTTGATTATTAAAAAACTTTATTTCAACAATACCTTCCATCCAAAGCACCCATACTTAACATTGCTCTACTTGAGCGCTGAGAAGACCATAAAATTTTATTTTACTTAGATTATGAGCTCATTTTTCGCACCAAGAATATTCATAACTCGACGTTTAGAGGCGCTCGGCAGATAACGAAGACAGATTTGGAATCAGCGTTTGATGCTCCTTATAGTGGTACCAATTTCATGTGAAAAGGCCACTTTGACCGGAAACACCCCCTTTGTGAGATGCGATATCAGCCTCAAGAAACAGCATGATATCCTCGATATCTGCATCATTTTGTACAGCAAAAATTTCTCAATATTTGCGAAGCATGCAAATAAACAAAGCCGTACAGAGCTTTTCGAGGATGGTCACAAAATCACATCACACTGACTACTCAAAATAACAAGAACCTGGAAGATTCAGTCAATTTCAAATAGCTTTTTTTCGCTTTTAATGTCGAAAAATGGGCGAACACAATTACACGATAATGTTATGGATATGAGACTGTCACGATTTTGTATATTGTGATCTAGCGAGCTGAAAATAAGCCAAAGTAGGTAAATAAATTGAGTAAGTCAATGACAAAAGGAAGCCACATATGCTGATATAAAAGGAAACAGGCCAAAAAATAAAATGTTTTATTCTAATTTTCTATACAAGCCAACAAGAGCCTCAGACTCAAGGTTACGGGGAAACTCCACTTTTTCAGGTATTCTAAAAAAAGAAAAAATAACAAGAGAGAAAAAAAATAAAACTCCAAAACTCAGAACTCGTTGCAAAATAAAAAATGATCCAAAAAGTACCACTTCTAACAACCGCTTCAACGAAATCGATTCCGAAGCCTAAAGCGTTCATGGAAAAGTAAGTTTGACTGCTCAGAATTCTTCCAATTAGAAAAATTAAATTCTTAAAACTACAGCGATAATAAACAATCATTGTATTTGTCAGAATTTGTAACAAAAAAACAATTATCTGATGTAGTAAATATTTTGAAAATTTATTTTTCCGGTAGTGTTTTGTATTAAATTGCATGGTTCCCAATAAAATAGGTAAATTCTGCTGCTTGAAATATAGGTACAGAGGATACAAGCTATCCCTGAGGTTGATATCGCATTTCAGCGCGACGAAGTGTGAGGAAAACTTTTACCGCGAGTTTTAGACAACAACCATAATTACTGTATCATCTGCGGCGGCCTTGCTGGCAGCTCCGGCGGCTGGCTGCGGCAGCAGTCGGCTCCCTGGGTGCCACTTGCACGCTCCCAATAGCAGTGGCGTCCGAGATCTCTAAAGGGAGGACGGGGAAAAATTGTTCGGGTGAAGGGGAAAACTTCCGGGATGGTTTTCAATTTTTCGAGGACCTGCCATCTCGAAATTTTAGGGAAACTGAGCGTGACGACAGGCACGCACCCGACGTTATTACGGTACAGGTGAGAGTTTAAACTTTTAAAATTTGCTGACTCCGTATGCTTTTTTATTTGGTACGCTGTTATTCATAAAACTATTTGTTACGGCTACGATCTGCGATACAATCGGTTTGGAAGCTAGTTCTTCAACGCTGAACATCCACGGTTGTTCTTTCAAAAGGTTTGTATCAAACAGTCACTGGTGTGAAAGCTCAGCATTGTTTTGGTCAAAACTTGGACTATCTTTTCTCGATCTTTATCTAAATGAAGAATACGGCAGCTGCTCTAGAATGTAGCCTTTGATTCAACTGGCTTGGCTTCAGCAAGGCGGGTTTTGTGGACTAACTGAGGCCGCTCGCGCCCGCGCGCACATGCGTCTCTCTCGCGCGAGTGCTCTGTGATCATTGCTTAGCCTTAATTAGGTCACGAAGCCTCGTCTTCCCCGAAGCCAAGCCAGTTGAATCAAATGGTATGATGTGGAACATGGCTTCAGCATGCAAAAATTTTCGCAGGTAACTGTGAAGTTTTGGTTTTTTTGATTTTTTTGATTTTTTGGAAACCTTCTTGCAGGGCTTACATTGCTCTATCGAATGACACTCCGGAATCAATCTAAAAAGCAGGAAAAAATGGCTCAATGCAGATTTCAAATGTTTTGGTGCAATTATGCATCGAGCTAATACTCTAGCGACGTCAACCGATTATACCTTAGAAGTTTGAGTTTTTTCAATGAAGAAACGAGGCTAGGAAAAATTTCTTCTTCCGATTATATCTTGTGATCAATCCATGATAGAAAGCAGCTGAAAAATGACTGAAAATTTTTTTCTTTAACAGGACACACCCATTAGGATATCAAGAATTTACGATCCTCGATATAAAAGTAGATCCTAAAATAACCTAACCTCCAAGATTTACCCTATTTTCAAGTGCCGCACTTTTTCAAATCTTCAAACGAGCTGCTCAGCCGCTTGATTGTGTTTCGAGAAGCGATTATTATGCCGCACAATTCTTTCAGGCAATACAGCACGGTATAGTGCCTTTCCTGCAAGGTTTTTTCATGTGTTCGGGGTGGTCGATGTAAGGTAGGACTTCCCGCTTCTCGTATACCTGAAAATAGGGTAATTGCTCTTGGGACGTATTTCATTTTGGCAATGTTACTTTACAAGGTCACTATCACCTTTAGGATTTCTCATGTCTCTGACAACATGTGTAGCGTGAAAAAGGGTAACGGACGCAAAAAAAACTCACGCTGCATTGTAGAGACAAATAAAGTTTATCCAAGCTTTTTCTTCGTTGGAGCATATTCGATAAGAGCAACCCAATTTAGTTGTATCAGAAAAGACCATCTTAATGTAATGAACAGCTATACGCAGATCCTGATCGCGGATACCTTGCCAAAACTTTCCATAGAACTGTGATATATGTTGTTCGAGTCGACGCCAACGATCCTTCCTTTGGCCCACCACTGCTCAAGAGTCTCGTGTATGATAAGAGTTATATCAGTGGTGGGGACAGGGTATCTAAAAAGCTCAACGGCTATCATATTGAAGAGAGTTGTCCGTGGAATTACATCATTGGCTTATGTTTTTAAAAGGAAAAGTGCCTCTTAAACATCCTGTAATTTTTTGGAGAATATTATAAATTCTGCAGAACATAAAACGTATTTTCTTAGATTTATATAGAACATGCCTCGACACTGATCTTAAGCAACTTCATTTCACCCTCCAGCACCTATTACTATATAGGATTGTAAGATGTTAGCATGGAAAAAAGGGTGATTGATTTTTATTTGTTGTAGCACTGGTCATTACAAACAAAACTAATCACCATCAATTGCTATGAAAATAAACTGGTTGAGGTGGACCCTGGCACGCCATACTTGGGGGGGGGGGGGATCGTATCGAGAGGTCAGGGAGGGATTGGGTGGTTATCGAGGTGACAATAACCTTAGCGCTAGTGTATATTTTCTATTTGTTAACAATGACGGATAGGCCCGTCATGCAAAGTGCCAGCACATTGATGTTTTGGCTTACCATCTTAAAGTACAGTAAGATATGATAAAAGAGTCGTAGACATTGTCCATGTTCGACTGTCGCTTAATCTCGGCATGTTACAGATGCTTATTGTGTCTTGTTTAGCTGTCCGAGTTATCCTTTATTTTGTGGCTTCTGAGGTCAAGTTGAGGTCAGACCACTAGGTATATAAAAAAGTTATAGATCAGCAGTTATTGGTATAGTGGTCTGCAGCGCCACTTTGTCGGCATCTGTTTAGCTAAGCTTTAGTTTAATCATGTATTCAGTTTTGAGTTCTTGGTTTACTGATGCACTGATGTTGTCTTTCTAAGTATTGAGGCAGCTTTTGATAGGATAGGTCTTTCATGTTTCCGACAATTTCGGAAGGAGATACCGAAACATCAGCCGTATATAGGATATACCAATGCCGGTGTACAGCTAAACAAGCCACAACAAGTCGTAAAGCTACAACTCGTAAAAGCTCAAGAGCATCATTTCGTAATTAGCATGACAAATAACTTCCGTGGGACAAGCCCCAGCGAGTCTCAGGTTTCCAAATATTGGGCCCCCTAGAGATGGTCATTTTCGAAGAACTTCACTTTGTTGTAAAGGTGATGACTACTTCTTTTTGCATTTAATACAAAGTACTACTACTTCTTTGCTCATGTTAGGAATCCCACTTCATATTACTTCCAAATTATGATATTGAGAGGAAGTCAAATTCTTGTTTGTCCCACTTGTTGCTTTCAATATCTCAACTAGAAAAGACGTCATGCTAAAACACATTTGTGAGATCGCGCGTTCTTACCGCCTTTCTCTTGCTATTCACGTAGCAGCGCAGCTTAGCGTGTAAATATTCACATGCTAAGCTGCGCTGCTATGTAAATAGCAAGGGATAATGCTATCATTATATTCATTAATATTACATTTTTGCAGTATTTTCCGCTTGCCTAGGTAAGGAAAAACGGCCATATTTTTCCTAAGAAAATGATTTTAAACGAAATTCTTGCAGTATAGAAAAGAAGGTTTAGCAGTGGTAACGATATAAGAAACTTAGATGTTTGAATGTAAAGGTAAGTTAGTGAGGTATGGCACAAGGTGTGATAGCCCCAGCTTTTCTGGGGTTGTGCCGAACTCCATTACTTCCTTCCAAGGAGAATTTTAGCAAACAAAAAAATATACGTGATAGCCAAAGATCTCGTCTTTTCTATAGAACTGATTAGTGCTCAAAGGCACCGTCCACCCAAAGTGAGGGTTCACGAGATTCAATGGCATGCTAATGTGGGCCCCCACACTAGGCCAACCCCCAAGTTTCCCCGCAAAAGATTGTTTCCGGAGCGAGAAATCCGCTCTGGAAGTTACGTGATACGTGATCCAGAGGTGGTAACTCCGCCCATTTTGCAGCTTTGAGGGCTGCGGCGCTGATATACGCCGGGCGATAACCGCGCCGCAGCCCTGCAAACTGCACTTCCACCCGTCCCGCTTTCTCCAAAATAGGGGTTTTTGGGATTCTCGACTTCATATTCGAAATCAGGGCCTTCAGAAGGCCCGGAAGCGACAAAAACATGGAAGTCGAGAATTTGGGTGGACGGTGCCTTTAATTCTTCTTCTTTCCCTTGAACAAATGCAGGAAACACAAGCACTGTATGCGAAAACTGGGACAAATGAGATTTCAGCCGGTTTTTGTTAGGTTGTAAAAAAGTTCCCGGGCACTTTTAGAAATTTCACTTTTGAACGCATTTTTTGGCGCTCGGTCAGACTTTGGCACCAAGTTTTTTGTAATGTTCAGTAGAGGGAAGTCTACGGTTTTCGGGGTTTCCTAATTTTTATCGATGCCAAGAAGGTTTGATTCGCACATCAAGAAGAAAATTTTTCCAACTATGGAAATTTCACGATATTTCTTCTTACGGCCATTTTTTGTGCAATACAAAGAATTTCAAATTATGGGTGATCTGATGGAGAAGCCTGTTAACTTCTGAGCCGCAACTGCACTTGAGTTTTGCGATCTGTGCTCAGAAATTACAAGCTGTCGAACTTGCCTCTGACTGCAACGATTTTCGCAGCTGGCGTCGCTTCTGCAGGAATCTCCACGCCGCGATATGGGTTCAAAAGTTGTGTAAGGCATCCCAGCAATGTTCGCAGTAATTAAAGATTTGGTCCACCCTATGCAGAACGAAAAGATTTCAATGTCACCTAATCAAAAAGTGCTGCAATTTTAGGAACAGAAAATGGTCGATTTTTCAAACTTTCTGGAAAAACTTTTTTGCATGTGGTCGCTCAACAGTTGAATAGTCTCCATAACAGCTCCAGCAACTCTATATGATCACAGCATTTGAGCTCTCCAGCTTTCATGGTGCCTGCGATAATCCTGCACAAATAGTCCACTTTTCGCGACGACCTTTTTCCCTTCTGCGCATGCTGGTGGACCGCAGTGAGGTGCTGACGAGGATGACAAATATACAGGGTGTCCCAAAAAATGTATCGAACGTTTGATGATTAATATCTCTCTTTGCAAGAAGTCTTTTGCCTTGCTTCAGGTACGGTTTTGTAGAGCTGGCTTCAACTTGATTTGCAGATTATGAGATTTGCATTATGGAACGAATCACTCATTCCTCTTCATTACTGTAGGATTACGAAAGAAACTTGAAACATATGGTGTCAACGTGGAAAAAGCTGCCGTTTCAAAATTTCCCAAAAAATTGTGAAAACTTGTGTAATAGGGTTTTTATGGACGCTGAGTTCAATAACTCAACTATTCACAAGATTACGAAGTTCTCTAAACGGTGTAATCGCACTTTTTAGGAACATTGAAAAAATGGCTGCTACCTCTTACCTGGCATAACTCTTCAATGAAGCATTATGATAAGTTGGGAACTTTAGTTATAATCAGCAACTCTTATTAGCCTAGTAAAGTTTTCAGGCTGTTTTTTCCTTTCTAAGACAAAATATGGCCTTTTATTGCTTAAAGCCCTCTTTGATGTTTCTACCGTAATCCTACAGTAATGAAGAGGAACGAGTGATTTGTTCTATTATGCAAATCTAAGTTGAAGGCAGCTCTACAGATTGGTACCTGAAGCAAGAGAAAAGACTTCTTTAGAAGAGAAATATTAACGATCAAACGTTCGATGCATTTTTTTGGGACACCCTGTGTCCCAAAAAAATGCATCGAACGTTTGATCGTTAATCGTGCATCGAACCTATGTTGTGGACAAAGTTGTCTATGAAATTTCTAACTTCAAAATACCAATTTGCTTGAAGTTACAGCAACCTAAAAAATTTTTCGCAAGTGCCCAGGAACTTTCTTTACGACCTAATAATTGCCTACTTTGATGGTTATTTCAAGCAGAATTTTTGATATGAGCGAATAAGGAGTAATACTTTGTGTTGAGTACAAATAGAGGTAGCTAATTTACCTTTGAAATATAATCAAGCATGTTTGCGAATGACCACTTCATTAGGTGGCTCATTAAATTGATCATTACTCACCTGTCCGAAGTTCGTAGACCAAATTTCTTTCTCGCTTTGTCACTTATAAGCAAGGTTCTAGTCAAATAAATACTGGGGATAGTATGCTTATTCATGAAGTCAGAGCTGAATGCGTACCATCCAAATATTTTATCTCTGTCTGCGAATGATAGCCGTGTAATTCCTAAATCCCTTACAGATTCAGCATGAGCGGCTTTTGGAAAAAAACTTCACTATTGTGTGTATGCTTCTGCAAATAGCAGCATGTGCCATAGAATGATGCTAGTTTCGTGATTACCTGTGTTGCAGCAGGTCCTCATTGTCATTAGATGTACGTGGATGAAGTTTACAGAATAAGATCTAATTCTTGGCACACAATAATGGCACTGCTCTCGCAGCATCTATTTCATTTGCCAATATGCATAAAGGTATTAGGTTGTTCGGAAATTAATGCCCGTTTTGAATTTCAACCGCAATAAGACATACACTTCTCACTTCTAGATAGTATGCAAAGTACCATTCGATAGAGCAAAGCAGGCTCTACAAGATCGCCATCTTGCTTTTGCAACAGCTCTTATCCATTTCGAGTTTCGAGCCAAAACCTAAAAAGACTCAGCAGCTCAAAAAATCGAAAACAATCGTAACTCAGTTCATAAAAACCCTAAAAAATTCTCACTTGCTCACGTAACCACATTCCACATAAGACATCTATATACGCCTTTGCCGTATTTTTTCCTCTGTTAGAAATCAAGAAAACGAAATTTTTCGTGCATTTGCCAAAGTGATGCTGTGCCGTTCCCACATAGGTAGTTGTATACTACAAACCTGTATAAGTACAAACGTAAATTCTCAGCTCTCTACAAGCTTTATTTCCCGAGAAACTTGAATTTTAGCTTGGACCACCTAACTAGGGAAAGATATATTCGGTATTTCTCGAGAACTAAAGCTTGTAGAGAGCTCAAAATCTAAATCTGTACTTCTAAAGGCTTATGGTATACAACTACCTATGTGGGAACGGCACAGCATCACTTTGGCAAATGCAC